GGCCCCCCGCCAAGAAGCTGCTACTCTCCAGGTGCCCAGCTCTGAAGGGCACTGCTGAAACCAGCATCAGCACAGAATTAAGGGTAGCAGTACCACAGGGCCCCCTCCTGCTGCTGGCCACACCCCCTGCCTGGTCTCCCCTCTCCAGGCAACCCAGCCGTGTCGTGCACCGGGCTCCTCCCCACCCACAGCACAGCTGAGCCGTGTATCAGCTCCCGCCTCCTGCTGCCCAGCTGAGCCATGCGCCGGTTATGCCGGGGCCCTGCCCCCAGGGCTGGGACGCGCTGATCCTGGAACCGAACCACGGCTGTTGCGAGACCAGAGTTCCGGTTTCAAGAGGTTCAACGTGTCACACAATTCTCTGGGGCGCTGTGGCTCACCAACATTCCACTTCGAGGGTCTCTTGCCAGTGCCTCCAGAACTCTTCTGCCGGCCCGTGTGTGCTGCAAACAGACTTTCCAAAGAACAGTTTTCAAACTAATCTCTCCTTGGGGGGCACTTGGGACGTGGCCGTGCTCTGATCTCCCCCTGCGTTCAGAGGCAGCTCTGTAGTTCGTTGGCTGGCGCTAGGGAGAAATTGCTGGACTGTTTCTCCTTGGGCATCAGGACAGAATTCCTGCCCGAAGTTCCATTTCAGCCAAGGGTGCCGGAGCCGGGGCCCCCCCCCGCTCCCCTTCCTCTCCCCCCCGGCCCACCCAGAGCCATGCAGGCAGCTGTGGGGAGGGCTGGAGGAGGTGGGGTCCCAGGCAGAGACAGCTCTCAACCCCTCTGTGCAGCTCCAGCTCTGGCCTCGGGGAGGAGGAGGGGAAGGGGCTGTCTGCTTTGGGGAAAGTGGGTGGGCGGTGGGCCCTGCCCCATTCTGCTCCGGCGCCACTGCTCACAGTCACTGCGCAGACTCCCGGGAGCTAGGGGAGGTGGGGAAGGATCGTGGGGGCTGGGGTGAGAGACCCAGCCCCAGGCCACATCCCTGCATTCAGTTGAGCTGGCAGCCCACACGGGCCCCTGGAGAAGGTGTGGGGGGCAACTCTGTGCTCCCAGAAAGGGCGGGGCCAAGGGAGTAAGGGGCGGGGCCAGGCTGTCAGCCCTCGCTGCTGCCCGGAGTATGGCACATCCCCTCCCCCCAGCCCTTAGCACTGCCCGGAGCAAACCATGCAGTGCTCCAGCTGCAACTGAAAGAGCCCAGAGCTCAGGCCACCGCCACGGCTACTTGCTGGGCCCCGGGGCAACTGGCCCCTTTGCCTCCCCCCGTTGGCAGGCCTGCCCGCTTCGGCTCTGACGTGAGCTACCTGCACAGAACGTAGCCAGGGTGGGACAGGCCAACTGCCCGAACCTGCAGGAATCTGCCCCCCCCATCCTCCTCCCTGGCCCAGCCCCCTCTGGTGGGGTGCCCATAGGGGCATCAGATTTCACAGGGAAGGACTCAGTTCACCTTAGTCGGCCGGAGGGGTTTTGCTTTGGTTAGCGCAGCGCAGGCTGGTGATGTGCCCAGCACTGCAGCGAGACTTACAGGTCTGTAATTGCCAGGCTCACCTCCAGAGCCCTGTCTAAAGACTGGCGTGCCAGTAGTCATTCGGTACAGAAACTGCTTTGAAGGCCAGGGTGCCCCTCCCAGAACAGCTCTGCAGTTCCACACTGAGTTCCTGCAGAACTCGGGTGAATGCCACAGGGGCCCGGTGCCTAATGGCTATTGCATGTGTCAGATTGTTCCACAGTCGCCTCTACTGACACCTGTCTGGGACACCTGAAAAGAACGGCTCGGTGTGGGACTCTCCCTCTCTGTCTCCTGCCGTGAAGCCCAGTGCAAAGAATTTGTTCAGTTTCTCCGCAATGGGCCTGAGGGCTCCTTTAGCATCTTGAGCATCCGCGGCCACACGGGTGGTTTAGCAGCCTTCTGCTTGTGACATGCCTCTTTTTCTTCTTTTTTTTTGCTCTTTGAGTCTTTGGGTGCATCTACGCACAGGGCTTAACTTGAAATAAGCTACGCAAACTGAGCAATGTCAATTGCGTATCGTATTTCGAAATAGGAAGTGTCTACACAGCGCTTCCTCCTCCTCCGACTTCCCTTCCTCCTCGCACAATGGGGGTTACAGGAGCTGGAGGAAGAAGTCCTCCAGCTTGACAGTATTTTGACACTATTTGCAGTGTAGACATACCCTTTGACTAGCTGCTTTCAAATCCTTTGTTGGGCTTCCTAATTGTATTGCTACACAGTGCTGGCCACAGTTTATGCTCCTTTCTATTTTCTTCACTAGGCTTTAACATCCATTTTTTAAAGGATGCTTTTACGCCTCTCACTGCTTCTCGTACTGTGCCACGGAGCCACCGGGGCATGCTTCCGGGCCTCGGACTGATTTTTAATTTGGAGCAGACATTGCCGTTGGCCTCTCTTGATGGCATATCGATAAAGTTTCCGCGGCTTGCAGGGATTTCCCCTTTGGCACTGCACCTTCTCACTTCTGTTTAACTAAACTCCTCGTTTTCGTGTATTTCCTCTTTCTGAAATTAAATGCTGTAGGGTGAGGCTTCCCTGGGGTTTTCCTCACCACAGGGATGTTAAATGTAATTATACCGTGGTCACTATTCCCAAGCAGTCCAGCTACGTTCACCTTTGGATCACATCCTGCATTCCACTTAGGGCTAAGTCAAGACTTGCCTCTCCTCTTGTGGGTCCCGGAACCAGCTGCTCCAAGAAGCAGCCATTTAATGTGTCAAGGAACTTTGTCCCTGTATCCCGTCCTGAGGTGACGTGTGCCCAGGCTATCGGGAGAGTTGAAATCCCCCATTATTATCCAGTGGTTTAGTTTTGTAGCCTCTCTCGTCTCCCTTAGCAATTCACAGTCACTGTCACCATCCTGCTCAGGGAGTGGGTAATGTAGCCCCACTGCCATGTTCCTATTATTCCAGCATGGAATTCCAGGCCAGACAGACTCCATGGTTCATTTAAGATTTGTACTTCATTTGATTCTCCACTTTCACATATCGTGCCCTCCCCTGGCACCACCTGTTCTGTCCTTCCGATGGGTTTGCATCTTGTGTGACTGTGACCCATGGATTGTCCTCGTTTCACCAAGCTTCTGCGGAGCCTTTTGTAGCAATATCCTCCTTGGATACGAGATGCTCCAGTTCACCTCCTTAGTATTTAGCTTTACAGCATTTGCGTAGAGGCACTTAACAGATTGTCACTACTTAGCTGCCTGCTGTGACATGATTGAGCTGAGCGGGATTCTTAGTCACTGGGCCGTTTCTCATGAGATTGTCCCTGTATAGGATGTAGAGAATCTCCAGAAGTCAACCAGAGCCCTGTCTGAGCCCGGCGGCTCTCCCGAGCCCTTAGCCCTGCTCCCTCGGCCGCCTCCTTTGCCAGAGGAAGTGCCAGGGCAAGGGAGCCAATAGCCAGGTTGGGCCCCCTGGCAAGGTGGGCACAGGGGCGACTTGACTTCTGGAAGGGGCGGGGCTGGGTCACTCAGTGTGCCACGCCAGCTCCCCCACCACCCAGAGTGTGCCCCCCCGGAGCCGCCAGGAGCATGCCATGCGGTGCTGCAGTGGTGACTTACAGGGCCTGGGGCTCCAGGCCCTTTGGAATCGCCGGGACCCAGGGCAATTGCCCCCTTCCCGCCCCCCATGGCGGGTCTGTGCCCTGTGCCCAAGAAGCCGGTGCAGTGCAACCGCTAAGAGAACATGCCACTCAAAAGGCCCGGTTGGCTCCGCCGCTTTGGCCTTAAGAAGTGGTCGCTGGTCCCAGAGCTGCGCTTAGAGACGCCGGTTCCATGGAGGCCACAGATCAAACACCCCGGCGCCGCTACACGCCTGCTGGCCAGCCCCGCACGCCCGACCTGAGGGGACTGGCCCCTCATTAGTGCGCGTCGTAAGACCGGCAAAGGGGCAGACACACTGAACTGTGCCTGAGAGGGCATGTTCTCACTGCAGGCCAGTCCAGGCAGGCACAGCCCTGAGCCCCACATCCCCGGGCCCATGGGCAGAGCTTTCACAGGGCTCATAGTACACGCCTGCTGGCCAGCCCCGCACGCCCGACCTGAGGGGACTGGCCCCTCATTAGTGCGCGTCGTAAGACCGGCAAAGGGGCAGACACACTGAACTGTGCCTGAGAGGGCATGTTCTCACTGCAGGCCAGTCCAGGCAGGCACAGCCCTGAGCCCCACATCCCCGGGCCCATGGGCAGAGCTTTCACAGGGCTCATAGAACCCGCCCGGGAGCCTCTGGCAGACTTTGACCCACGCCCCCCCCCCCCCC